TGGTTGCACTCAACAGTGAAACTTGCTTTTCAGGCCATAAGCAAAGTTAGTTGTGATAAAAAGAGACAGTTTTCAAGCTTCTACATAGTGGCTTTCCAGACAGATGGCTCAGAAGCTGTCCAGAAGGTGAGAAGAGTGCTCATTTTTATATTTCGTGCCATGCCTGGAAGCTAAAAGGGAATTGGTACTGGAGAGGATCCAGTATGGATAAGTGCTTTAGCTCCTATGTTTTCCCTAACAAGAAATGTATCAGATGTAACAAGAACAGATCCAACAGGGTTGTACAGTCCTTGAGGCACAACGTTGGTCTCAGTAAATTCAGTGGCAGAACTCCCGTTGACTTTAGCTGGAGTCAGGTTTTTCTCAGAAAATTTTGTCAAGAAAGACCTTTTTCCCTGAGTTCTTTAAAGAACAAACATAACTTATTTTACAGAAATTTGGAGCAGCGATTTGATTCTAAGTAGAGTCCAAATCTACCCGCAGACAAGAAAATCAATAAAAATGAGTTTTTGCTCCTAAGTTTGAAGCAGGGGCATTGCTGCCTACTCAGTAGTGTTGAGGTTTTTTTAACTGAATTAACTGTGGTATGAAAGACCTTAACAAAGGCTGATTTACCATATTGAGAAGCAGCCTCCATTGTATTCATACTCATCACCTTCAATCACATATCTACAAAGGATTAGGAAGGAGAACTGAATGGGCTATTAACCTTATGGGAGAAGTCTCTAGCTCTACAAGTCTCTAGCTCTACATCAGTGAAGCTGATGAATTTCAGGGTTTTCAGAGTGAATTACAAGATCCTTGGTGGAGTGGAGTACATTATTTCCTATATACAGAACTCAGGCTGAAACAAAATCTCCTTTTGGGTTACAACTCAGAACTTATGTATTTGCAGTAAAACTATAGATGACAACTATCTCAGCAAGCCAAACACAAGAAGGTTATCACTGAGTTTTTTCAGCAGATTTGGGGACCTGCTCTCTTCACACATCACTTGTGTGGATGTTTCTTTTTTGTTTATGGCATAGTAAAATGACTTGCTGAGCTAAGTTAATGCAAAGTCCTCAAACTGTCTCTTTGCATACTATGAATATCTTGGGAAGAAAAGTGATGATCAAGGGAGCCAGGCAGTGAAAGTAGAAGTAAATAGGCTGGAAAAGGTTAAGTCTGTGTTTGTGAAGATCTTCAATTGCAGATACAGCTAGAAGAGAGAAAGATGGGCAGATTCAATGGAAATCTATTGAGAATTAATGTTCCAATTGCCTTTTTTCCCCCCTCCTTCTGAGTAATTAGAATTGCCCTGGAAAAACAGACAGCCAGTTCAGGATACAGGCAGGAATTTCCCAATGGTAGGTGGGATTTGGATGCAGTGGTGGGGAAGGGAGAAATGGCAAGTGGTGAGGAGGGAATGTAAGGCCAGTATGGGTGATGTCAATTAATTGTGAAAAGTTGGCACAAAGACAAGGGGGTCATGGAAATCTTAGGTTGCATGCACATATCCATACAAACATAGCTATTGCCTCACTCAAGAGGTGACTTAACTGTGTTTGCTCTTATGCTGACCCAAGAGAAATCCTTGTCTGAATGATACAAATGTCTGTCCTGCTCTGTTTATAGTACTTTCAGTCAAAAATAGTCAGGCCAGGAGGGAGTCATTTAAGGAAAGCGGTTTGCTCATGAAAATGTCTTTTTTTCCTGTTGGTATATAATTAGTATATACACCCACGCGCTCGCATGTGCGAAGTCACATCTTACAGACCAGTTTTTTCCCTCAGTAAAGAAACTACTCATAATACTTTCTCACAGCTTTGCTTACTAGCAGTGTTTGGAACAAAGATCCCACTTCAAAGTCCATTGGAGTCTATGGAAAGATGCCCATTGACTTCACTGAGATTTGGATCAGGTCCTGAGTCTTTCTCCATTTAGAAGTTGGAAAACAGGCTGCAATTTCTCATCTGTAGATGCTGGACCAACTGGGCCTGAAACTAAGTGCACACAGAAGCTTCACAAGGCTGTACCTTGCAAATGAGTCTTTTGTTTCTGTCTGCTCACGGATCACTGAGTTCTTCAAAGTCAGACAAACAAATAACGCTTCTAGTCATTGGGTTTTTCTGTCCTTACAGGGTTTGGCGGCTCTCTGAATTGTTATCTGCAAGATGTAACCATCCCTGTGGTCATGCCAGAAGATACAAATGTAGTCTTCTGCAACAATGAAAACTAGTGGTTTTCTTGGAAATTGTAGGAACATGTAGGAACATGTAGGAATAAGAAATATGTTTTGAAGAAAATTTTTCAGATTCTCTTCCGCAAAATAGATATTCTTCATTTCTCCAATAGGCTTGAATAAAAAGAAATATCTGTGGTTTAGTCTTGGCATTAGCAGACAAATTTCTTCCTAACATATTGTCTTTTTCAAAGAGGTTTTATAAACGGTTTTAAATGAATGACTAGTGGAAGCTTTTGCACAATGAGGGTTGAATTGACTGTGCTGTGTCTGACCCCCTTCTTGAAAATTAATTAACTACCCTCATACTTCCTTTTTTTTTCCAGGCTTATTTTAATTTTTTTACTGCAATAGTAATCCAGCACAAGAGGTTTTTGTTTTGAGACATTACAATTACTACTCTCGCTCATGACAAGGAGCATGAAACTAGATGATCTTTAAGGTCGCTTCCAACCAAACCCATTTTATGAACAGGCATGAATAAGAATAATAAACTAGATCCTGTTTTTCATATATGAAGAGATCTGCATTATTTTGAGGCTTTTTTTAGCATCAGTGAGAGTTTTTCTGTTGATTTTGACATGACTTTCATTGATTTGAGGCACAGGAGAAGGGCTGATAGGGGGCAAAGGTAGTTTTAAGCTAGATGTCAGCACTCTCTTATGCCTGCACCAGAGGAATCTTTTCCAAGTCTACTGTTTTATGCAGTAATACACTACTAAAGTGGCATAATTATGTGGGTGGCATAAGATTTATGATATCCTTAATTATTAATTTACTCAAGTGTTTAGGGTTTGCTTTTAACGTGACAGATGTACACACTTGTCAAGGCACCAGCTGAAGCGGCTTTTTTTTTTAAACAAGGTTATTTACTTCTGGAAAAAAAACAGATGTAGACAGTTATCTATTCTTTTTCAGTTCAAATTTCATTCAGACTAATAAGAGAGTTTGTTTAATTTTCTTATCTTCATTATATTTTGATGACAACTTAATTATTCGAGAAAATTAATGATTCCTCCACTTCCCTGTGTTAAACATGAGAAGAGCATTACGCACTAATTATAAGGAGGAACTACAGCTGACGTCAACAGAATTTGTGTGACTGTACATATTATAAATGAAATCAGAATATTATACAACAGCTGGAAGACAGTCTAAGAAATAACTTTTTGAATGCCATGTTAAAGCACATGCTGACTCACATTCATTTAATTCAAGAATCTCTACACAAACAGTGTTCTTGTCTACTGACTTTTGCGTAGCCTGGAAAATGTAAATGAGCTGATTTCCATGCTAGTTCTGCCCAAATGTAGTGATTCCTATTCAAATACGTCAATTGTATTCTGGTTAGAAATTGGCTTAAACTGCAATGAAGTCTGACAGAGTCTGAAGAGCTCAGGACAGTAGTCACGTCTGTAGTCACTGTGTGTATACAAAAAGAGAAAGACCAGGAAGGGAACTCATCACCAGCTCCAGGATTTGGAAAAAAAAGGAGATATCCAACATCCCTCTTGTTGTGCACAAGAGCCCATTTTAATGATTTGTGATCAATAAAAGAATACCCACGCTTTTAATCTTGGGCTGCATTTATTCCACTCCTTTCTGGGTGTAATGGATATTCTATTTTTGTAAAACTACAACATGAGCATGATTGAGCTGTGGATTAGGAGAGATCCTGCAGACAAGAAGGGCAAGAAGAAGAAAATGGAGAACTCATTTCTAGGATAAAAAATAGCAGTGTTTGTGGCAGACTCCAGCACCAGTACAGATATTAATCTGTTCAGACATATGGGAGTAGACTTTTCTAAAGCCCTGATCTGTAAGCTGAAAGAAAGATCATCACTAATATATGTTCAAAGCATAGATGGTAACTGTCTAGAAACGGTAGATAGTAACTAAGCTTCTTTATGTAAAGCCTTTATTGTCATTAGCACACTGACATTCACGATTCTGCAGATAAGTATGTTGGTAAGAGTGGGGCAGAATCAAGTGGATGTCCGCTGAGGATCACCTCCTACTGGACTCATTCAAGAAAATGGACCTTAAATTGTCCATTAAGAAAACACCATTTGCCATTTGCACAATTCATTGGTGTCACTGTCAAGATTATATTGGAAGCTTGTTTTAGCAGTACTTATTATTATTCATTATATTTAAGGTAACATTAGGGACCTTTGTTTTCTCAGGCTTTTTAGAGAAAGGTTTTCTTTTTTTGCTGCTGCTGTCCATATTTTTTTGTACCTGAAGAGAATTTACTTTGGTAGACTTTGCAGTTGCCTATGAATTTGATATGGTAATTCACTCTCTAAAAACTGATACTTTATTCCAAAACAACTTGGGTTTTACGTTTGGTATACATTTTTTTTAATTAAACTGCCAAAGAAGATTATATTCCTACTCTGCAAAACTGTTAAATATCGGAAACCAGAAATCTCTGGTGCATTCATGCTGCTGATACAGTGCATCCTGGCTGCAGGTAAGCAGACTGAATTTGTGTAACTGAAAATTTAGGGCCATATACTTGATATTGCATCTTCATGTCATAGATCAGAATGAGGGGGAAAAGAAATCATCCCACTGAACACAGACCCTGCCTTCAGGGGCTGAAGTGTCTCACTGTAGCCTCAAGCACAAAGAACTCTTAGAAATCAGAAAATATGAGTGGAAAAATTGTAATCCTTCTTGGAATATACGCCTTGAGAGAATAGAGTGTCAAAGCAGTGGGGTTTTTCCTGAGTTTATAGATTGTTCCTGTTCCCTGCACTTACCTGCCAATAATACACAGCAAATGCTGGGACAATAGTATTCTTTTAATATTTCCTCTGATCCTATGATAAGCTTCATACTCACAAAGGAAAGGGAGGGAAAACTGTATTTATCTTTGCTCTCCTCTGTAAAAATAAAGTTTCCTGGTATGGAAAGAGATAAAATCACTTGGACTTCTAATTCACACTGGACAAAGTAAAGACATTATTAGAAATATCAACAAGTAATGGCTGAGGAAATTCCTTAACTCTGATGATATTTTCCCAGACTTCTAGTAACAAAATACTGGTTATAGATTGATTCACTGAGTTGCAAAATCCTCCAGGACTTCAGAATAGCATGATAACATAAAGGTTTAGGTGCTGATATAAATATATTTTATCTATATCATTTGATGCAAAATATGTATCTATATCTTGTCAACCTATATCCTTTCATACATACACACTCCAGGCAGGACAAGACCACCCATATCACCCCTGTGCATACAAAGTTGTTTCTGTATAATTTTTAGGACAAATAGCTTTGCCTTCCTTTTGTCTGAGTGTATTCAAGACATCAAAGACAAAGTTGGGGACCATAAGTAGATATCTTTCATGAGATAAGTTAATCTAGATGGGAAAAAGGAAAAATTTGGGGAAAAGGTTTCTTGTTGACAGAAAAGGCAAGGCATTGCAAAATGATTAAATTGTAACAAAACAAGTGAAATATAAATGTGTCTAATTTAATCTTACTACAATTACCCCTTTTTTTTCTCACTTGGTAATTTTGATGAAGCCACCTGGAGCATCAAAGTTTGTCATTTTCTCCAGGTATATAATTTGAGCAAATAAAAACACATAATAGTTCCTAATTACCTGTTTTCTGTGCATTGGAGCAGATTCAGCTGGAGCAGTTTGCAGCACTACTGAGCAGCTTGTACCTTTGTGGGGAGGACATTTTCCTAAAAGATGGGTGCAGAGCTATTGAGATGAAAACACTCGAATTTCTTTCTCTCATTAAGGGCTGTGTGTCCTGTGGTACAGAGGTGTAAAAGTAGGGAAAGTTCCTATGTTTTGAGAAGAAAAAAGTTTTACTTAGGGAAAAAAAAAGGAACAGAGACTTATACATACTGCTCCAAAGAATGATTACAGACTATAGAGCTCAAGTTCAGCATCTCTGTACAGTGCTCTGTACAGAAAAATTCTGCAAGGAGGGTTGTGTTTCATATGTAGCCTCAGACCTTACTCTTAGTTTGGTCAAGGTGTCTCTATGCTGAGTGTGACAAGAGCTGGGTATCCATCCTCAGGTACAGAATGATGATAGTGGATTCTATTCTGGAACCAGGTGTTAGCCATTCAAAATTAAAGCATCTAATTATTGAGGTCCTGAATCTTGAGATGTATCCCTAAAGCTTTGGTTTCTGAATACTTTCTTATCCAAGAAGGTGTGAAGAAATAAGGCCAACCAACAGGCCAGCTGGGAGGGGAAAGGGTCATTTGAGACTGAGGCAAAAATAAATTGCCATTTAAGGTTGTAATAATTTGCTGTGTGGTGAAAATGAACTTTAGTAAAGAACACTCAGGAATTCCCAGGGCCTGATGGGCTCTAGTTCTACCGAAACCAATCCAGTATGCCAACCATATCCCTTCAATCCAGTTTCCACTATATTTGACCCTTAAATGTTGTCCTCTACAATGTTTCACATGTGAATAGCAACTTACAAGTGTTTTGTTGAGAGAAAGATTACCATCTTGCTAGCACTGGCAGTCAAACTCTATTTATCCTTCCAGCAATATACAATCTTTAAGTTCCCATAGCTACCTGATATTTATAGGCACATTTATTATCCAAAACATAATTTTACTTGCGGGAAGGCACATAAATGCCCTGCATTGCAGAATGCCTGGTTTTGTTTTGTTTTTTTTCCACTCCAATATTTCTCTGAATTTATTAATCTTAGATGGGATTCACTTTACCTAAGAAGAAAATATTTGAGTGAAACGTTTGAGTCACCTTTTCCCAGCAATTTATAGAAACAGACACCTGGGAAAAAGTAATTTATTCCAACAGTCTGAGATATGTTTTTCTCTCCAGGAGGAGCCTTTGAACCACCACTGAGATGGAGGGTGCTTATATACCCTGCCTATCTTTTAAATGGCGATTAATAAGTGAGAGGAACTCTAGACTGCTAATTTACAGAAACACTTCATACCTTCTAGGTAGTATTCTGACCAATATCAAAATCACATTTAGCTTCTGATTACAAGGATTTAACCTACTTTTTTTTTTTTTTTTCATAAAATCTTGGCTCTGAGAACTCAATTTTTGTAAACAAGAATATTTTAATATAACGAAAAAACCAGTGATTTTAATTTAGTTGCACAAACTTACGATACTAACAGTCTATTCTGTTGTTATCTATGTTTTGTGCTCAACTTCAATTCACAGTGCTGTCAGAGTAGTGTGCCCTATTCCTCTATTTTTAAATGTGAAAACATCTATACCAAAATCTTACTATTTTGGATAAAAACATCTCTTTTTCAGTGTAGGATTATTACCTCAAATGTGGGGCACAGCAAGGACTGGACATGCAAGTAAATGAAGCAGAATTCCATTCCAGACAATGGAAAATTAAAAAAAAAATAAAATCCTGTGTTAAGCATATCTGGCCCTCTATTTGTCCAAAACCTCTGAAGAAAAAAGTAAGAGATTTGGTGACCACCCTAAAATCTTCTCCAGTGATAAAGCTAATATAAATCTCAGCAGTCCTACAAATGACAAGAGGACTGGACTCTATCCAGACACAGACCTCAGCACCAGCATTCTGGGACCTCACTTGGTATGGCAAGAGAGAGGATGTTTTAATTTTCTCATTTTGTTACATTTAGGGGAGCAAACTTCCTATCTGCAAAAGTCAAAGAAGTAGATGGATTCCAATCACAATGTACAACAATGGCATTAATACAAATTACTCTGTTGCTTCTGCACCAAACCACAGCTGTACTGCTACTTACACCCTGTGTAAGGAAGGAAGAAATAGCCTGAATCCTCCTGGGAAGTTTCTGGACATTCTGATTTACATGGGAAATTCAGTGACCGAATCAAAACCCTGAATAGTTTTTGCTTTCCTTTTTTTGTCTTTTTTTCTTTATTTTCTTAAATTTAAATTTTGGCCTTTGTTATGTGAACACAAATATTGTGGACGTGTTGTGCTTCTACATTCCCCTTGGGCTATATTTTCCAATGTACAGGGCTGCATGTCCTGGGACTCACAAAATCTCTGACCAGACAAGCAATGATATAACTCAGGTTTTTGCTATTAGGTAAGGACTACTACAGTGGATTTTTGTTACTTTTCAAAGTGCTGTTGGCAACCACTACTGGAGGAGCAAGGTATCCAGTTCTCATTTTGCTGTTTTACAAATCCACCAATGCTTCATAGTAAATCTATCCATTTCAAATCCCTGAACATCCTCAATCTTCAACAGAAAACAGATCAAGCAAGATCTTCTGTTACCAAGACTGTATTAACTAAACAGACTATGATGCACCTTGCCAAAAAGCAGGAAAAAAAAATACCCAAAACATTGGCTGAATTTGGCTCTTAATATACTCTTATGTAAACCAAAAGAGAATAGGTATGGACTTTTCTTGCACCTAGAGTGGGTAAACTTCATTTGGGTGCTATGTTTTGAGATACATAAACAAATTTTTGAGGGAGGTTTATAAGAAGATTACAGATTTTGCCATATTGATGCAAATGCAGAAAGTCAGGACACACAGCAGAAAGACAAAGCTTCTAAAGCTCTTGACTTCTGCCAGTTGCCAGTGGACAATATAGAATGCATGAATATGTTTCTTTCTCTTAACACTCTTCATACCCCTCTTTGAGGGAAACACAAACACAAAGAACATGAATAAAGTTTCTATTATCTTTCATTTTTCCACTCCTCAGAAACTGGGCAAGCTTTCAGCCTGCCTATTACTAACTTTAGCTTGTTTAGTTGCTTTCTTGTACCCATTTAATCAATTCTTCATGCCAAATGCTTCATGCTGACTCCAGAGCTAACACATCAGAAAATATTTACTTCTCCTATATCTTAGTTATTGTTTAGTCTTATCTATTATTTTCAAAATCATAATATACAGGAGATGGTCTCTCCCCATCAAAATGTAAGATTGATATGAGAATATGCTTAAAGCATATCTAGTCAGCAATTTAGGAAGTAGACAACTGTTGATTTCCCCCCCCCCCCCGAATATTTGTTTGCTTGGATATGAGAACTACTCTGAACTTCATCATCTACTTCTTAAGGTCAAGTTCCTTCAGAGAGCTGCACAAGGAGATCCTATACCAACTCATGAGATTCCACTAGCATGGTTTATTTTGTAGCCTAGGATTAATGATTTACTAGGCTAAGTATCTCAGAATGTCTTCAAGATTCCTCTGTGCTATGCACTGAAATCTATACATAAAGATATAGTACAAATTATCTATCATATACCTTCTTTTGTTTAAACTTCATTTAGATACTTTTTATTTATTTTTCAGAAAAAAAACAGGATTTTGATTTCAGAAAGCCTAGAATGTTAGTTATATGACAAAAATCCTTTTGTAAATTTTTTGCTAAAAGAGGAAGCTCTGTACGATGTACAGAAAAATTGGCCCAAAGCTACATGATGATATTGCAAAGCAAAACAATTTGTTTCCTTTTGTCTGTGAACCTTCAATATTGGAGCACGTAGCAGAATTTTGGAGGAGATATCCAAATGTTGATTAATCTCTTAAAAAAAAAAGAAATACAAGAACTTATTTTAATTGCTAATATTAATTCCTAATACCTACTCTAACATATATATATAAATTAAAAAAAAAAAAAAAGTCTTTCCTGGAACTGTGACTTTGATCAACCCTAATAGTAACTTATCTGAATCAAGTTATCTTCTTCTAATCTATACTATCTGAATTTATATATGAAAAAACACAATGAACAGATTGCAGCTGAGGGAAAAAGATTGACTCATTTATCTCTAAGAACCACTCCTGACCCAGGCCCCACCTGTCAAGGCCACAGTCTTCAGAGAATTGCACAAGCTGATCAGGAAATTACAAACAGATTGCAATAGAAATATGGTAGAGATAACCATGGTAGCTCAACAACATTTTGGAAATTTCTTTTGCTGGCTGAACTGCCATTTCTTCCTTCAAGTTCCTTCTCCCTCACTTCAGTTTAAAAAAAGCTTAATGGAAAAGACAATAGTAATAACAGAATTCACTCAACTGAGAAGTAATATTTTCACAGAGAAAAAACAAAAAAATATTATCAGGAAAAAAAAACTTTTTAAAGGCGCCCTTTGTGGTAACCTCAATCATAAAATAAACTGTAATATCAAGAATGAGAAAATGAATTTTCAATCAAATAAATAAATAAAAAATGCATATCATGTCTTTCCAGATTGGAAAAGGGCAGATTGAAAAAGTAATCTTTTCACATTCAACTCATATAGCACAAGAGAAAAAGGATGCATCCTGACAGATTTATGGTCTAAAAGCACTGAGCTACACTTTTCAAGGCTAATCACGTTCAGAAGGGACTTAGCTTTGGAGCAGGATATATATATTTATAGATATTCCATAATTCTTCCAGTACTAAGAAGTGAAACACTAGACTACATTTTTTTTTTTTAAGCAAAGCAAGAACTGATGCACTTAGGGCTAGCAGCAGTAACATAGAGACACAGAGCCCCAAAGAAAGTAGAAACAAGATCTCTTGTTTCATAGGCAGCATACAGGTGATTCAGCCCCAGCTCTGGGTACAGGCCTACGTAGGTGTAATGCTTGAGTGGCTCCAGAAGAGGCTGTGGCACCACCTCAGACTTAGTCCAACATAATTAAAAGTAGGATTGTGCTCATCTACTTTGTGATAAATGAGACACAATTGTTTCATAGAATCATAGGAATCATAGAAAGGCTTGGATTGGGAGGGAACTTAAAGATCATCTAGTTCCAACCCCCCACCACGGTCAGGGCTGCCAGCCAACAGGCCAGGTTGGCTGGCCATCCAAGCTGGCCTTGAGCAATGTCAGGGATGGGGCATCCACAGCTTCTCTGGGCAAAGAGAGAAGTTGTATTTCATCACATAGCATTGTGCTGGTATAGATGGATCTGACCTTCTATTGTTTCTATTGCTGCTCTGACGTGGCTGGACAAAAATCTTCTTCCAGGCTGAGAATCATTTTAGGAGGGTGTACTCCAGCAGGTCATTGTTGCAGCTGGCCCAAGCCAGGCCTGGGCTTGTCTGTGTTACGCTCACAGACGTAATTTCAGCCCACAGTGCCAGCTCAGGGCCTCTCAGTCACCATTTCATTTTAATTTTCCAACTCCAAGACTGAGGAACGAGGACTCATACCTGTTGATTCCTGCTGAAAAGATCGGGAAGGAAGCATGATCAAATCCAAGTCAGAGATTAGTAGCAACCTAAAGAACAACCACAGAGTTGCCTGCCAGCAAGTGAAGGTGGAAGCATTGGCTGTACTTCTGGTGGAAGCAGAAGGGCTTACCAGCACCCCCTGCTCCTGACATGTACCCAGCAGTGCCCTGTCAGTGCAGCAATGGCTGCAGCTTTTCAGGGCTCAAAGGCAAAAGAAGTTATGGTCCCACAGTGCCTTTAGAGGACTGTGGCCTTCACCTGTGCCATTTGCAATGAACTGGTCTGCGTCTCCTCATGTATCCCATCCACCAGCTGAGTGTCTCTGCAGGCTCAGACACTCGTGCTTTATCACTTTGCCAGCAAAAACAACTCTTCTCGGCTGCAAGTGGGGAGAGGGGAGGGAAAGTGAGTTTATCATGTCCAAAAATACTTCTTCAGAAGGATAAGCAAATCCCAATGACTTTCGAAAATGAGTGCTGCATATGGCAAATAGGAAAAACTAAGAACTTTCAATAGGCGTTCCAAAGTGCCACTTACCACTATAATTCAAGTAGCAATTCAATTTTCCAAGGTCTAAATTCAGCATGATGTGTAAAAAAGACACAATTCAAAAGACATGTGAATTAAATGGAAATGCAAGCCAGTGTGATTCATTCCAACAGCATCATCAGCTTTATAAATGCAGGTTCAAAATATGCAAGGTCAATATATCCCAGTTATGAAAGTGAAAGGAAACTAAATTTGTGAAAATCAACAGTAACTTCAGAGCTGTAATGAGGGATCTTGCAAAAGGTAACAGCTCCTTTTTTTCCCCAAGGCACGAAAGGTAACTATAACTGCAAAGATCTGAGTGTCAAAATATTCAGTGATTTGGGTTTTGTCTGAATCTGGATTCTCCCATGCAATCAAAAAAAAGAGCTAGGAAAAAAAAGAAAAAAATATTTTCTATTACCATTTCTTTATCTCATTTATGATCTCTAAGGTTTCCCAAGCCTCTCTGTGCTGCAAGTTACTTTCATTGACCCTTTTCCACATTTTTCTGTGATATTCCCTATAGCTTCATTATTAGCACGTGCTGGAATTATAGAATTTTAGGATAAATCTATGAATTTGTTATAAACTAATCTCTGCTCAATATTTACTGTTTTTCAAAAACACTGAAGACATCCAGATGTGAATTTAGAAATTATATTGGAAGCAAAGATTAATTTCTTCTTGAGTTACTAAATTTGCAGTGACCGTATTTCTTTTGATTTAATGAATGATACAATTGACTTCCCAGTTTATAGTAGAGTATTCATCTGACTATTTCTTATATCTACATGAAATCAAATTGTCTTAACACTCATCACCCTTAAATACAATGGAAAATTACAAAATATTTAGTGTTCTGCATTGTTTTTATTACTGCTTACTAACCCCCCTTTTCTTACAGTACTGTTTAGTTTGCCTGTTACCTGACTGTCCTAAATAGGAGCTGTATCATTGGTAAAACACAAGTAATGTTCTGCTGTTGGATCACTCTGTCTGACTCCATCTTAAAAACATATATTCAGTGCCAATTCCCACACTGCGAGAACCTCTCTGACATCTGTCCTGCTTTTATCAATATTCTGTCTACTTCACCTGTGCAAGATATGCCCTGTTATAAAACCATTATATCATATTTACTTTCTTTTTTCTTATACAGTATTCTAAGAAGGAGGCTATCAAATATTTTCTTAAAAATTTTAGTGCCTATTTTAAGTGTTTGTTTCATATATCTCTAATACAGTCTTCTATGGCTGAAAATGTGTTCAAAGACTGGTTAAGACCAACCTTCTCTTGCTAAGCTTTCTTTCAATTCCTTTTTAAGATGCATATTTCACTTATTAATTGTGTTGTTGAACTTTTCCCAGGTTGAGCTTCATAATTTATTTAGCCCTTATAACTTAATATTAAAGATTATAGATATATTATATTATAGATATAATTTAATATTATAGGTTAATGTAATAGGCCTTGTAAGTAAGCCTACTAGCACATCTTCCAACATTTGTATCAATTTCCTTACTATTCACATAAATTCTCTTGGATTTTTCTGTACTGTTTTTATTGACAGGATTTTTATTGATTTTGCTTCACATGGAAGAGTTGTGAGCTTGTTGGAGTTTTTAAAATGTTTCTTGAAAAAGTGTATTTTGGCTGATTTCCTTTTGTTGATAGATCTCTGTATTTACCCATGCTGAAGGATTACCTCTCTGGAAAATGTATTTTTTCCAGAATTTATGATACTGTCATAGAGAAAGGGCTTCAAGGTGTCCGTGTTGATGGCCTGTAATAAGTCAAGCCTTTCTGCATGTGAACTCTTTAGTTCAGTTTGAAATTGCTGTGGTAAAAAGCACAAATCTTAGTCTTCTGTGGTCAAATTTCTCTTTTATTTTTCAGAGTTGGGTTTTTTCTTATGTTTCATCTGCTTTCTTATCACATATAGTTTATTATATTTGGTTCTGAGGATTAGGACTGTGGCATAGCCAGATATTCTTGTAAGTTTTTTCCAATACATATATGGTACCTGGTAGCTCTGTTGGGAGAATTCCAAATTACTTCATGGATTTCTTCATGAGGAAATATAATTCATGAGCTCCTGTGCCAGAAACAATTCAGACGTCTATGCATCATTTTAGTTTGGAAATTCATGCTATATTTGTACATTTATTCTGAGTTGTTTTCCCAGCCACCAGGTCTGAAGTTCCTCATTAACTTACTTGATGTAGACTTATTTAAATAAGCTGAGGTTGGAGTTTATGTGAAAACAGGATAAGGTCTTGCCTAGATTGTTTCCTTAGTACAGATTTGTTTTTTCCTTCTTTTTATTTGTCAAAGTTTTTTCCTAATCTAAAAAAAAAAAGTTCCCCCAGAACCAGATTTAGATACTCTTACAGGAATGGAATGAGACACAGTCAGTCAGTAAATATTTCCTTAAATTAATTATTTTCCCACCCTGTCTTTTACAGTGCATGTCTTTCAATATAAGTAATAAAACCCACAATTTTTTTAACTGGGAGGTTCTCATATGAGCAGACTGTGTGCTACCAAGAGGTGGTGTGTCCCGCTAGGTGTACCAGCTGTGTGGGGTTTTTTCCCAATAGAGCCTCACTGCATATTCTCACTCTGTTGAGTTGTGCTTAAACCTGCAAACCAAACTTTAATCTCTACTTAGTCAGAGGAACCAATACTGCCAATTCTTTAAATAAAATGTAACTTTGATTTGAATTTAGAGGTAGATCTCACTTTCCTTCTGGCTCGTGACCTCTAAGGGACCTAGCCAGTTATAGTCAGCAGTAGAAAGCAAAGCTGCCATTACCATAACTATGTTAATTTCAAATATTTCATAACTTTTTTTTTAGCACAGTATTGTTGATATGAACGAGGAGTTAGTAGCACATGTTTTTATTTCTCTTATCTCCAGTGACCAATTTGTATTTCATTTCCTGCTGTACATGACAAGAATATACTGCCATGTATTCAACAGAGAGTTAAAGCAAGCAAGTGAAATTGGAAGGAGGCCTTTGGAATACACTTATGTTCACCATATGGTAAGAGTTATTATTATGCAATTTACAAAGGTATTGGTTTAAGTTAGAACATTTAGAAAGGTCCCCCTAAAACTCTAGATGCTTTTAAACAATTCTTCCAGATTCCTAATCCCTGAAAGGTCTTTTAGATCATTAATCAAGACATGCTGGCTTTTGCCCTTCACATTTTTCTTCAGACTAATCCACAGAAACAAGCAAATAAATTACACATTAAAATTTATGAGTACAAATTTTTCCTTCCCTCTAAATAACGTGTGCGATTTTCCCTGGAGAAATTCCCTCCTGCATAAGAAATTAAAGCTTTCAAGCAAAGAATAGTTCCATTGTCAGGAAGAAAAACAGAACCATTGCCATAGCCATGCTATTTTCAAATATTTCATAATGTTGAATACTATATTGTTCATATGAATGAGGGCTTAGCAGCATATGCAACCATAGTTAGTTCCTGAAGGTTGTAGCACTGTAATACAGTATTAAAAAAAATATTCCTGGGTTAAATATTTTTTTCTGCCAGGAAGGAGACTTTGTAACAGCTTATTCTTTAAAGAAGCCTCACAAGGAGAAAAAAAAACCTCAAAGCAGCAAACTTTTCAGTTCTTTTGACCTCCTGGCAGCTGAAAACAACAAATGCAGAGCCTACGGACACTTTGGTTTCCAGTCTAGATGATGAACTGCAATTGCAAGAGATTATTATCTGCTTAGAGGGAACAGACAGGCAAACCAGATGCCTGAATTGAGAAGGCTGTCTCAGTTTGGATGAAAATTTTCTTCAGTTTCTGAAGACTCATGAAAACTCAAGGATAGGTTGTTATTTTAGTCAAGAGTAACACTCTGAGGTCAAAATGGACCATTTGAAAATTAAAAAAATGTGAATGTAGACATTTTAAACTCCTACTTGATAAATTACCATGGTGTTTCCACTGGAGGTGACTTCAACATACTTATTAATATCATTTTTACATTTGAATGCTTTTCAAAACCAGAGTATTTGTGCAGAAAAGTAAAGGCTTTATCTTGGCTTCCAAGAATATACCCAGTGTAGCTATCAGCTACACTATAAATACACATTTCTGCAAGAGAGAAAGTGTAATTGTCTAATGTCAGTGAAACTGATGGTTAGAAGACAGCTATTTTCTTGGGTCACGTCAAGATGGAGCCTTGATTAGTTCTATATTAAGCTGAATTGCTTTATTGTATCCAACATCTGAGTCAAGCAGGCCTTAGTTTTAGCACAATGTATGTAAGAATGTTATTGATATATTGCTAATGTGACTTTCCAGTAGCAGAGTGGAAGGACCTGTAAAGGAATAACCAGCCCACGGCTGCTGAAATTTCACCTGGTACTTACCCAATAATTGAGACATGTAAATTTGGTTGTAGGCTCCCAGCAGTAAAAGGCCTGCCAAAACAGAGAGCAGTGGGCTGACACTCACTTGGCAATTCACCTGTTCAGTGTAATTATACCTTACAGTTGCTTTGACAGGTTCATCCCTCTGAAAGGCAGAACAAGGGGGACTACCTTTTATTTGAATTACCCAGAAAACAGCTTTACTGCGCTCAGCTGAGTATTATAGATAGAATAAATAAAATAAAATAATTTTCAAATCATAATTTTAGAATAGGTTAGAATCAGACCTGCAATAAACTGGCAAGGGGTTTTATCCCAAAAGCAGAAAAAAATCACTTTTTCTGAGTTATACAAGAATAGCGTAAAAATTAAATATTAGAAGTTATTAGAAAGTTCGTACTTTCCCATTTTATTTTAAAGACCTTTTACTTGAGGGACTTGACTTTTTTAGATGAAGGGGGACTCTAAGGCTGGATTATCAGACAAATTACTTGGATTTTTACTTAGTAGTGAGACACCAAAGTAGAATTTGGAAGGGAAGTACAATGCATTTGTAATATAACACTCCAATAAGTCTAAAAACTACAGAATTTCTCATGCAACTCTCCCTTTGATCTTGGCTGCTCTGCACCTACATTTTAATTTTAATGTAAAATTGATTTTTCCATGCAAAGCAGAGGTTTCCCATGTTCTAAAATGTTCAGAAAAGAGCCTGATGTTCTCCAGAAATCAATGCTGCCACTTTCACTGGAACCATTAAGCTGTACTTGGTTCTCTGGACATGTTGAAAAAATGTAGAGAACATGAAAGTCTGTCTTGACTTAGTTCCTGAGCTTTCATCCAGAAAGAGATTTAGTGGATCCAAGAGACAACACTGCTTCGTATTTTTGAGGAGAAAATAATTTCCAGGAAAAAAAGAGGTTATTTTTTTTAAATAACTCAGTGGCACTTTGGGGTAGGTTGGGAATGAGAAGATCTTAAACATCAAAACAAAGAATAAAAAGGTAGGGATAGCCAGAGTTAGACAAGTGTTTTTGACATAGTCACATTCTCAATTTGACAAATTTTCACACTTGAAAAAAAAGAAAGAAAAACATTAATTCTATTATTTTCTTTCAGTCTTTCCAGATCTGCTTTAAAGATTGAAGAAGTTCACTAGAGGCACTGAGACTTTAGATGCTTAGTCTAAGCCAAAATTAGCAGACAAAATTTTGATACCTAACTCACCACAAGTATTGGAAACAAACATTATCCTTAACCTAAAATGGTGCTGCTTGTTCTCATAAATTAGGGGAGGAACTGGGAAGGGGTGTGTGTGTGTGCTATTTTGTTTTGTTTGTTTGTTTGAAAACTTAAATATGAAAATTGCCAATGAGTGTGGGAATGGACACTCATAATACCAGCTTTTTGTGTTTCTCTTGATAGGCTTAATCAAAGTATCTGATTATAACTCTTCTCCCAGCACTTCATGTATTGTCTTCTTGGGAGTACAATAGATGTAATTTCACTCTTCCAGACTAAATGATTTTCATGGTAATTTCTTTGCCATTATCCATCCCACACGTAGTGGTTTTGTATATAAATGTGTCTGACCCATGGCTTCTAACTAGTAATCTGAAAAAAAAGGAGCTTTCAAATATAAAAAAGGTAGAAGTCACAGCAAAGCTAATAGCAGCAAGTACAGATAAAAAGACACAACTTGGACACAACAAATTTGCTAAATAGAGGCTGAGTTAGAGGATGATTATGAGAGCATACCTGATTACTCTTCAGTGGAAATGATTCTTGTAAATATATCATATAAGCTAGCTCTTGCTAGATTATTCTACGCATTAAATATTTCATTTCCATAAAAGTCTCATACACCTAAGGTGTCTCTGTGGAAGATAAGAAATTTAATGTGATTCACCTTTGCCTCCAATATTCAAGTATTACAGCTTTGGAACAAAGTAATAAGAGAGGTGAAGTGTCGAAAGAGCAGACCTTCCCATTGACTGGAGGCCAGCAGAAACCAGTAATCCAGTCAAAGAAACCTACTGGTGTTCATGTAAGAATGCTCAGTACCACCACTTGGACCTGTCCAAAGGAATATCTCTTCTAGTACAAACATTGCCTTCTTCAAAAACGTGAAGTTGATGAAGTAGTGTTGTGTAAACAGCAGTATGGAAGTGTATGATGAGATACTACAGGGAGGTAACAAAGTTGCTTTTACTTGTTTATCTGTTATTCTGCTATGACAAAGGACAGAGAACTAATCTTGTGAAGACCCTGATTACAAGGAAATTAAAAATTCAAGACTCCCTTTACAGCGCACAGACAAAGCTTTCCTGTTTGGCTGTGCTGTTGTTCCCCAACAGTGTGAAGCATCATAGCTATTTTGGGGTTCTCAGCAAGCACCTTCTCCTGTTGTTGACCATCTGTATCTGCTCAGTCCTTTTCTCATGACAGATCTTACCTGATGATGAGGCTGGCACAGAGCTGGCTGCCTAAAAATGAGAGACCTGGGTTAGTTGTCTCCCTTCATGTGGCTGGATTGGTAACTTGAACCAATGTCTCCCACCTTGGAGATGTGTACCATAAACACAGATAGATTTGGTTCTGTCACACTGAAACTGTTCTTATGCAAAATAAGTAAATGACTGCTCTTCAGAGAGGACTTGAGAAAGTGCTGAATTTCAAGAGACCACTTGAAAACCCAGGAGGGTGATGACACCTATGTGGGTTAAAAAGCACAGGACTTTTGCTTCGCTTTAAAAAAAAACAATCCTGCATTAAAAAAGGGTGATCTCAGTACTTTTACCCTCCTGGGTCATTTTCTTCCTCCAGTTTACAGTGTGTTGCTACTAAATGTTCAAGAGATTGTACTGGTCTCAAACTTTTTTTACCTCTATAATTTGTCCATTCACCGATCAGGTAAGTTACCTTGTCTACCATGCAGGTAGAGTTGGCTTTACTATGACTATGAAATACTCAAATTAGGTCAACACTGCACCTAAAATTCCTCTAAAGGCTTTAAAAACTTGAAAAAAATCCATCAAAGTATAATGGTCCATGCTAATATAACTAGAGTTGGATATTAAGGATCTGTGTTTAAGAGAAAAGCTTATTTCTTTAATCTGCGGTTGAAAATATCCCTTCATTTTATCTTGGGCGAAAGAGTAGGAGCTCTTTAAGTTGTTTTAAAAGCATCTTATATTTTATTTATTTACTGTTGTTATATTTATTTTAAATTTCACTTAAGTATGTATGTTTGACACTTGTAGAATGATGTTGAGAGGGCAGGTAAAGGGAAAATTTGAAGTTGTTTCAATGAAGAAAACAAGCAATTGTTGCAGGACAGGTAGTTCAATATATCTAATCAGCTAACACAGGACATTTTAACATGCTTCAATACACATAACACAGTCTTTGAATGTGATTTATGCAATGGTTGCTTCCTTTTTAAAAGACTATCAGAAAGACAGAGTCATATTTGAAACTCAGAAAATACACTAGAATGCAATTTTAGATAACTTTGTACTGACCTGGTAAACACATCCTCCCTTACTACAGAGTGACAATTTACTCTATTTGAATAATCATGATAGCAAATAAGCCACAAAAATATTAGTTATTCTTCCAAATGCATAACATATCATAAAGCAATCTTTGCTTTACTTCAATCAAACCTGAATTCCTTGGAAAACCAAGTTGAAATGATCCAGCCTCATCATATATCCTGGCTCTCAGGTAAGGTTTCAGACCATCCTGAAGCAAACACCACATGTGAAGAACACCTTGGACTGCAGCAAAGCTAACACGGCCTGTCTTGCTAAGGGTTGTGTCCTATTCCCAGAGGATCCCTTAGCTCCTGACTGCAGCACTGTGCCGGGTGGTACATGCCAGGTGGATACATTGTGCCCCTGATATTCCCAGTCCTAATTCTCTCACTGCTTTCCCCATGTTTGGTGAGAATGTCTTTTTGTGCCTGTTCCAGTGGAACCGTTTACCATCCATTTAGTCTGGATAGCTGGAGCGTGGGCTGTAGCCAACCATGCCTTTTTTCTATTCTTGGTGCTCCTTTTCAGAGGACTTTGAGAGAGCAGTCCTTGAGCCCACTCTCAAGGTGTGGCTGAACATCTGGGGGAGGCTTGGCAGTGTCATGAGGTGTCCCAGAGCCCCTGTAGTCCCCGTGTAACAGATGATGGGCTGTCACTAGTCCATAGATGGAACTGTTGTCATGGGAACAAAACTACATAGAAATCTAAAAGTAAAGATGGCCAGACAAGCTTGATAATTTTTAGGCAGAAAACTGAAGTCAGGGAGGGCCTTGGATATACTTGAATTTTAGACAGGCATTTGCAAAGGAGGCATATGATAATCTAGGGAGAAAATTAATTCAGTTTGGCTTAGACAACAAGACAATTAGTCCAATCAAACGCTAGCTTGTGAGCTCCTGACGATGAAAAATTATAGATCATTTATTAAGGAGAGAGAAATTGGCTGGTGGTATCCTACAGGAATCAGTATTGGGTTACCTGTTTAAAGTTTGGATAAACATATCCACAAAATTCTATCAAGAATAGTGAGTTATTCAAGATATATGTAGAAGAGAGAACAATTTGGACTGCTTCACTAGAGTAGGAAATGAATAATATGTATCCCTGTACTATTTGCTGTGAGGTGTGGGGGGGTGCTTTTGAAAATATGTGACCAAATTTTCCAGCCTTCACAACCAAAACACTTTGGGCTTTTACCTGCCAGTGGAAGCTTTCTGTATAGAAGCCTGATTCTACACATCTCCTTTCAGCAGAATTAGGAGAAAGGTCTAAGAACTGGTCCTAAATTTCAGTGGATGGAGAATCCAAAAATCCTTTACTCCCAGTTTTCTCACGTTCAGACCTATGTTTTTACTTTAGTATTTCCTTTAGTATCAACCACACCAAGTAGCAGCATTACAATTAGCCCAGAGCCATAGGTCCCTGGGCTGATATCCAGCAACACATTGAGGAACACACAGAATCCTTCTCTGTTATCAGGTACCTCAATATATAGTGACAACTTTATTTAGCTGTGTTAGCATGCATGATTAAATTAGACTCCTGCTGGTAATGTCTATGATAGAAAAAATTAATTATTTTCTTTTACCTTCTTTATAACAAGAGTATTTTTACCATCTGGTCTCCCATGCTGACACCTCAAAACACGGTGCTAATAAGGTAAATGGACTATGTAGAAACATTTGGGGTGGCTGTAGCTATCTAATCTCTGACTCTGCTACTAATGATTTAAGTCACCTAACTGTTGCAAACATCAGCTTCAAATAACATCAGCAGCTAAACTCATAAATACATCAGCAGTTGAGACTTGTTTACAGTTGAAAGTGTGGTGAAATAGCCAGTAAAATAACTGTTTTATTATAAATCCTCAAATGGTCACTGTTTTCTGAGACAACTATTTCACTTAGTTTCTGAATATGGAGAACCTCTGAGTCATCAAAACTATTTCCCCTGTCACTAAACAGAGTTTTTCAGATAGCTGTTTTTATTTTAGATCTCTTCCTCACAGTTTCTGATCTATCTATTATTCAAGTAGCAGCATTTCCTTCTGTCCTTGAATTATTTAAACTGTTGTGCATGCAGACAAACACACTTTCCCAGCTCTGCAGCAAGACTCTATTACAAGCAGATATTTGTGTCTAATCACATGCCTTAGTGAACTTAAGTACTTAATATATCTAAAATTGTGATATTTCTTGGATGCAGACCCCCATCAACACTATTTATAAAATACTTGGAGATTTCACTTTAGATTTTCTATACTAATAACCTTTTTTTGTAAAGGAGCCAATCTGGCTGCGCTAAGCACATATTCTCCCAAAAGTTAACGCATGGAATCTCAGGCTGAAGACAATTTATATTCGTGACTTAAAACTACCATCTTAATCAGGGTATTATTGTGTTATTATCATAATACTCATTAATACGCTTCTTGTAGATAAATTTAAATATGAATCAATGCCCAAGAATAACTGATTCCCCTGAGCTCAAACAAATTAAGGAATGGAAAGATGTAAATAAAATCTATTTATTTCAAATTAAAGCAGCAGCAGCATTTTTAAAGAGAGTTTGATCTGAGATTATTATGCAATTGTAATTCAGGGAGAGCTTAGGAAAAGCTTACCAAGAAGTTAAAGTATGCAAAGCATTCTTAAGAAATTCAGTTTCGCTGTGTTGAATAGGTAGCATCCTAACTGCAAAATATATGAGTTGAACTCCAAAAGACAGGCTTCAGACACCATGGAAGTCTTTAAAAGACTGGAGAGCCTCCATCTCTGTCTTTGCCACCAAGAGAGGAGTTTGTTCAGGATAATACTATTCAATATTTGTACCATATTTGTCATACTGGTTTTCACAGAATAGATGTGTTCACTAATATAAAGTCTTCATCCTTTCACTTGAAATAATTGATGCAACACAATTCAGAGGCCCTTTCAACCCTTAAAAAATCCCACTTGTGCCATTGTTAAAATGGTTTGCTTCTGTTCCATGTGGTTTCAGTGGACCGTCATATTAAGTATACTGTTTATTCAAAGACCCCAATTTCAATCTGTTTTGTACATTCCATACATCTTCATGTCAGAGATATCTTGTCATAAAAATCATATTTTTAAAAAAGTATCAAATTACACATGTTTAGGTACTATGAGTAAAAAAAATTTTTAGAGAACAGGATTTATGGATTGTATTTAAAAGCTAGAGTCCCATGAAAAGAAAAGAAAAATCTTGAGAGACTTCTAGAAACACAAATCATTTCAAAAGTATTTGTTTGGCAAAAGTTTTCAAATTATAAACATTATAAATGAAGTTATAAATGGAGCAACTGCCTCAGTGGCTGAACAAATTAACACAAAATGTTTATGAATTGTGTGATACTATATATGTGTAGTCATAGGATTGTACCAAACCTCCTACATTCTGATACATATTTTCTGTTCTTAAGTTGTTTATCCTGTGGTAAAATATAATTTTCTTCCAATCACTGGAAATAACAGGCTTTCAGAATCTGAGATAACACAGTGATATTTCTTCCAACTTGAAAACTTTTAGTAAACATTGTCTACAATGACAATTGTGTAGTGGTCTCAACTGACATTTTCAAGATTCACATCTTTCTATGAAATATCACTTGGAGACCTCAGATTATAGTACGATTTTTTAAAAAACTTATCAAGATTAAACTATATATGGCTTTTGCTCTATTTATGGTACTGGAAAGTTGTTCCAGACCACATCACTTTGATGGGTAAAATTAATCCTGATTTCCAGCTTACCTGTATTCCTAGACAGTCTGGATCCATTATCTCCCTTGTCAGTTATATTAAATAATATTAGCAGCACTTTGTTTTTTCTCTGCTCTGTTTCCAAGTCTATGATATTCCCTCTCAGTGTTTGCTTCACGTAGTTAGAGAAGAAGAATCTTTTGCACTCTGTTTTTTCCCTGTTGGTTGCCTGCATTTTTTTCATGGAGATTTGAACATAGGTGATTAAATTTGCGTGCCATATTCCACCAGGGTCCCAGCCATGCCTTGCACAAGGTCCTTAAAACTACTCTTCCTCTAAAGAGAGGGCCCAGCCTACAGCAATCCTACTACTGCCTTTCATTTCTGATCGGTGGACATACCAATGGATCAAGACCATTCTGTGACCTAATTTAGCCAGATTTCTTTTCATTTCAGCGCAAAGAGGAAATAAGAAGCTACAGCCAGTGAACTAGTTTGTATTATCCATATTCTCTATGTACAGTGTACATTCCCGTGGCATCAGTTCTGCTCCCAGTTTATTACTTCAGCCTGAAAAAAAACCAGTTAAAATCTTGAGGACGGCGGGAGTAACTGCAGCCAATCAACACAGAACTCCAAGGTAGACTAACAGGGAAAAGTGAGGACAAGAGAGTAAAAACAAGGAAGTTATTTATAGCAAAAGTCACAGCATGCAACTTATTATGGTGTTTTATCCTCACACGTTATTATACATGTAGTAACATAATGTATTCACAATTCCACAAGTAGATATTAATGTAAATAAACCACAAAACAGGGAAAAAAAATGACCACAATAAATCTTAACATTGAAAATCCACAGACCTGGATTCAAAGGTGCTCAAACATTTTTCTTAGAAATGCAAGTCATTCAGTGTTATATAACAGCATGCATAAAAAATGTGGAAGAAAGTGCTATTGTAATGCAGCAAAATAATCTGTTCCTTTATAACTGGAAAAGCATTTTGAAATTATTATATCATGAGAAGTCTTGAGTATAAAAATAGATGCATTTTGGCTTTTTAAGCAAATTATGCCCTTATTTTAGAACACAAAGTGATGTAAGTCAGTTAGTTCTCATGCACTTGTGTGATACTCTGAAGTATGTGTATCCAGAAAGGCAGAAACAAGCTTAGTTTTTAAAAAGTATTATTGTTTTCATTCACATTTTCAAAAAACTTGAAAGTTTTTCTACCCTGATTAGTCCATTTCAGGAGACAATCTAAAACTCTGGTTCTTAACATTGTCTGAAAACTCTCTTATCACTGTCCATGTTGCTAGCATTAATCCAACTAAGAGATCACTGTTGAACTAAGGAAGAAAAACAAGTATTTCTATTTTAGGAGACACGTGAACCTTGTTGGAATTAAAATACACTGGAAATGTAACCCTTGAAGTGGCAGGAACCTTTTAAATGGTTTTCTGAAGTTTCAAAGGAGCTGCACGTACAAGTAAATTTACTGTTATTTCAATTCCATCAAGCCCTGTCAGCCTAAAATCTGAGTTCCGTGTATATTTTTTGCCAAAAGGGTGATGGGTGACATTCAACACCTGAAGCAAAGTTTCAAACCTGAAGACCTCCACAAGTCCCCTGCCAAGTAGGTTTACAGCCAACTACAGAGTATTTTTAGAAGATAAGAGTTTTCCCCAAATTGAGAAGTAATAATTTTCCTCTAGATTTTTCATTCTTGTTATAGTTTGGTTTGCTTGGATCAAACTGAAACAAAGTGGTTTAATCATCTTGTGGTGATGAAGGTGATGGTGTTATGAAACACATCAGGTGATGTGTTAAAAATCAAAGAAAACAAC